TACTTGTTTTTCTTTGTGTGTGTGTGTGTATGTGTATATACTGTATATATACTGTATATATATACTGTATATATATATATATATATATATATATAAATAAAACCTTGCTACGTGTACTGCGTTAGGCTAACCGAGACTTGTCATTTGCACTTACATATTGTTGCTCTTTTGTTAGTTTTGATTGCTTCTATTGTCATCATTTGTAAGTCGCTTTGGATAAAAGCATCTGCTAAATGTAAATGTAAATGTAAATGTAATCACGTTGGAAAGGTCGTAGGCAGAAGTAGTAATGAACTCCATCTGATTTTCTCCTCCAACTTCAAAATCATCCAACATCGTTGTTTTACCTTTATTTATTTGTTTTAGGGGGCATTTGATTTCATCTTAAACAATGGGACGGTGCTTCCACCTACGTCACACGTGTGACACAATCGCAGAGCTAGTGCAAGATGAGCATTTGCAGTTAAAATGCATATAAATTGTAATTTTCTTTTAAGAAAATGACCGATCGTTTCACTAGATAAGACCCTTATGCCTCGGCTGGGATCGTGTAGAGCCCTTTGAAGCTGCATTGAAACTGCAATTTGAACCCATTGGGAACAATAGAAGTACACTATATGGAGAGAAATCCTGAAATGTTTTCCTCAAAAACCTAAAAAAAAAATTCTACTGAAGAAAGCCATGAACATCTTGGATGACATGGGGACGAGTAAATTATCAGGAAAGTGAGCTGATTCTTTAAGGCCCGTTCACACCAAGAGCAGTAACCATGAAGTTATAAAAATGGTTGCAGAGAACAGTAGACAACTACAACGATATAGAAGAGCGACATCGTGGGGATTACTTTCAGAACACTTTTTCCAGCTGATGACAAATAAAACACTGACAGGACAGCTAGTCAGGATTCATTAGTATTTAAGCATATTTAAAACAGCGGAGAAACTCTACACAGCAAACATCAAATTACTTCAGTGTCCAGAGCTAGTTTTGACAACATTTTTTTGCCTCGTTTGCAGTGAAAATAACATTTGCATAATAATGTCTTTATTTCACTACATTGAAATGTAGCTTACTGAGGACATCTGCTGGTTAAAGCCGTGTAAAACCAACAAACTGATAATGACTAAAAAAAGAGTTTATCTTCAAAAGCGAAGCTCAGAGCAATAAATTCTCTCTGCTCCTCTTGTCTCATGTGCTTTGGTGTTTACATGTCTCTCGTTACTTTGAATTGCAGCACGCAAATTTAGAATAAACAGACGTACCGTTGACTGGTGCGGACGCATATAAAGTTTCGTTATAGTTGTCGTTATTGGTGTGAACGGGCTTTAAAATGTTGTTTACGCTGCACATCATCTCAGAACATTCCCCATCACAGAGCAATGATGCACTTTAACAGGAAAGTGGAAAATCCGTTTGCGTCTCACCTGCGTAGAGCTCCGGTGCGTACATCGCGTTCATCATATGACTCAATTTCCACCCCGCTGAAGCCAAACAGAGAGAAGAGCCTCAGATTACCCACCTGGCCTCGTCGCTAACAACTGAACAAAACCTGAAAACTGGCAAGCTGGTTTTACCATAGGGCAGCGTGCTGAGACCTTCTCCGTTAGTATATGGGCTAACCATCTTCTTATTGGTCATCACTCGAGCCGTAGCGTTGTTGACCTGTTCATCAGAGAGAGAACGAGCATCTGATCAGAGACGCAGAAAACAAAGCACTGGTGCATTCAATCTAGAGCTGTTCTTAGCGTCAAATGAAAGGAAGCCTGTGATTGGTTGTTGTCAGACCTTGTGAGGAGTGACGGAGTTTATGGGTGAGAGAAAGAGAGGGAGAGAAAGAGAGAGAGATGCATATGCTACATGTCACAATAAATGAAATCATGAAGACGGAAAACACCGGCAGGCATCAACACGGTTCTCTCCAACACACACACACACACACAGACACACACACACACACACACACACAGTCCAAAACAAGCTAGAGTCGCTCATCCTCACATGAATATAAGGGCAGAAATATCGTCTGAGGAACAATTTCGATGTGCGTGTGTGTATTCAGGGGCGTTTTTGGCTCATAGGCTGTGCAATAATCAGCAGATATCTGGGCCTGAACTGGAGGAAGCATGATGATGACAATGATGGAGTGATTAAAACAATCACAAATGACATGAAAGATGCGTGTTAGGACCGGGCGCTATGACCGTGTGAAGTGTGCCAATCGCTAGAGCGTACTGCGGTGGGATCCGAACAAATCTAACAGAAAACCTTTTCGTGCGGTGTAACTTTGATGCTGTTCGGAAAGCAAAAAGAGCCCAATTAACACTATATGACCTCCTGGTGATGAAGTTCTATGATGACTTAATGCAAGCACACAATGAGGGTCTAATCTAGAGGACCGTGTGGACCCAGTCCCAATCCCTCGGAGATGAACTGAAGCAGAGTCTCAGCATCTGACCTCACTTCTGCTAGAACAGCTTCACTCTTCTGGGAAGATCTTCCACTAGATCTTGAACACGGATGCAGGATTTGAAGAGCATCAGTGAGATCACACGCTGATGTTCGGATCATTGCTGGTGCTCCGCTTGATCCTGAAGGCGTTCAGAGTTGGGTTGCACCAGCTGTTCTCAAGTTCTTACTAAAACTGGAAAGTAAAGTCCACAGTAGAGGTTAAGTAACTACTAGAGAGTTAGTAACTCTGTGCTAAATTTAGTTCTTAAGGCAGAACGTAGCTAGTAGGCGGCAGGCTCTCTGTAAAGTGCATACAGTGTAAAAAGCAGTCACAAAATGACGTTATGTTCAATAATCCAACGGCAATCTTCATAAGTGAGAAGCTGTGTTGAAATATGCTGTGAATTTCAGTTCATCCTGTTAGTTTCCACTGAAATGACAAGTAATCATTAAATAACAATAGCTATTTAATATGTAAATGACATTCAGAAAATGTATTTGAAATCAATGAGCAATAAAACACTGATGCAAAAACATTTATTGTGTACAGCGATACATACTACATCGCGAATCTCAACTGCTCGATTGTTTATATCAACGCAAAATGTGAAATACATTATCGCCCAACTCTAATCTGATGCAAATGCAAGAATAATGGCATGAAGATATTAAGATATTAACATATAACGATTTTCTGTAATGCTGCTTTGGAGCTATTAGCATTGTGAAAAGCGCTATACAAATACAAATAAATAAATACATTTGATTTGACATGAACATGGAGGATGTACACGGAGGCGCATAGTTTAGATTGGGTTCGTGTTGAAGAGCCACTAAAAAGTCGTTTTTTTCCCTCCATAATGTTCTCTCTCTTAAAGTGTACATGTGTTAATGTCAACATCCTCATTTACATCTAAAGGACTGAAGTTTGTAGGTAAAATATAAGATTATTGATGCAATTCAATCTGCCATTTTATTCCAATTATTACTTGCCAGATGCTACTGTAAATATTTAGTGGTTATGTGTACAACGCAATAAAGCAATAATCCCCGTGAAGCCGTGGTTTACAGTGAATTTATAACAGCTAAGGGCCGTTGTTAGGCACGACGTGAAGCGGAGTTAGCTGTTATAAATTCACTGTAAACCACGGCTTCACGGGGCTTATTGCTTTTATAAAACGGTTATTCCATATACGTAGTACGGTTTCACAAAATAAAACGGAGCAAATAAAGTGTAATGATATTAATAAAAACAGTATTCTTCCACCAAACAATGTAGCTCCTCAGAATCAGTTGTGGTTGCTACAAAGTGGTTGCCGAGCAACAGACAAACGTAAACAAAGGTGTATGTTACTTTGTAGAGTCATTTACAACAGCTTCGAACGCTGCTCAGCCAATCAGAATCAAGCACCAGAACTCTCCGTTTTATAAAAAATATTTTGCAGCGTGCAAGTTGTAACTTTATGTTGCAATTAGGATACATAGTAACTTGTGCACAGCTGGTGCAACCGGCCCTGTTCTGATCACATCATGTGAAGCGGCTTCTGCTTCATTCATCTGTTCAAAGATCTGATCTTTTGGTATGCGTCCATGAAGTTCCAAATGAAAAGAGAGGAAAAGTCACAGCTTGTCAAAAAAGGCACATGCTTATTAAAAAATACACACCTCATTGAATTTCCAGAACAAAATAACCTGTATTATAAACAATACATACGGTTATAGAGTGACGCGAGACTCTGGTCATAACGCCCAGCCCTAACGAGAGCTCATCAGAACCACAGGAGAGATGGAGGGTTTAGTGTGACGGTCAGTGCGTGGGAAAGTGTTAATGATCATGAGAGCGATGGAGAAAGGAGGAGCAATGGTGAGCGCTGGGGAGGGAATATCATTTCTGTCAGAATCTGTGGTCCTTAGCGACTATATTAACACGATGATGATTTCATAAAGCTCTCTTCCCCATGCCTCTGATGAACAGTATATCAGGACAGACCTCAGGGAGAGATGCGCCTGCGCTAGCCGCGAACAGACGGAGGATGCGCTCGGCCAAACTTCACAACGAGGACTCGAACGCATCTCTGTTCCCTCCGAAAATAACAAGCTAATCAGTGCAAAAGAGCGAAAGACCACAGTTTGTAAAGCTGGGGAGGGCTGAGTTTAGATCTCAGGGGTTTGAGTTGGTGGGATTGATCAGGATGAAGCTGTACATACACAAACTTACCATGAGCCAGGAAACGGCGTGACGACACGCGAGCAGTTACCGTGGAGACTGACAACAACAACAACACACAGAAATCGTCAAGGGAACAGAAAAGAAAAGGAGAAAATAAACAAGAAGAGAAAAACAAACCCAAGAGAACCCAACAAAACTATGCCGAGAATGAGTGAACAACCAGAGAGGAGAGGAGAGGAGAGGAAAACAAAGCAACGTCCGGTGAGGAACTCAAAGTCAGAGAGGGGACATTCACACAACAACAGCAAGACAAATCTTCAGGTGATCAAATCTGTCTGTAGGAGCGCTAAAGAGCAGCCGCATTCATCTGTGTCACAGAGGAGGAGGAGAAAGGGACGAATGATTAGAGGAACTCAAACACACACACACAATGAAAATGCAGCACAGAGCGAGTCTGCGATTGAGTCAAAGCTACGGGCCAAAATAGAAGCGAGTGGAATCATGTCTAAGAGAGCAGTTAGTGAGGCTAACATGCCGAGCTAATGACATCACTCAGGGGAGGGGCCTAGACAGTGACATCAGAGGCAAAATCAAAATAGACACAGGGACAGGAAGTGATGCAACAGACAGGAAACACAGTGAGAGTGCAGAGCTGGACAGACAGACTGGCCAGAGAGAGAGAGAGAGAGAGAGAGAGACATGAGTGAAGAGCTTGATGACTGCGCATCGCTCTCTCCACAGATCTGCTCTCCAGAAAACACAAACAAACATTAGGGTGTCATTACATACAACATAATAATATCATGACAAATAATTAAACTTCTCTTCAAATTATTCAAATCAAGGGAATCTGACAGTGAAAACAATGGCATTCAAAAAGCAAACAAATGAATCTAAATGAAACTGATTGGGTTATAAAGTGCTGCTGCTGCTGCCCAGATTAAACCCGGTTTTCCTGCTTTCTGATGAATCTGATGGTCTGAAGCGATCAGACTCATGCAAACCCAAACGAAGCTTCGCCGCTGCGCTCCCATGCACAAACAGCCACGGACACCGGGGGGCGCTACAGAGCAACGGTGCAGGCGTCATGCATCTACACCAGGGGTGCCAAACTCCATCAGACACACTAGACTCAAAAAACTAGTCCTCTTCTGCTAATAAAGCTGAACATATGGACGCTTGCGTGTCGTGTCGCGCAAGTAATTGCATGCAGCTAAAATGTGCATGTTTGAAATTTAATCTGGATGACAAATACATCGATACGGTTTAAAAAAAAATTCATCGTCTCCTCAATTTTGATTTATATTTTCTAATTAGCAATTATGCTATCTAAAGGAAATGTATCCTTTTATTATTTTTTTAATGCTATCTTCATGGTAAGAACAAATAAGTGTCATACAATTTACAAAAAACTATATTTAAAAATGTTGTTTGCTTAAATTAAAAAGGAGTCTGAATGGAATAAATGCCTTTTATTTCACTGCAGACCTGATTTATTAAGGGATAATGCACAGTACGATCAGGCACTGAAGTGGCTTTTATAATAATGGCCAGCTGACTGTATATTATCCCCATAATAAACAGATACTTACCATGTGAGAGATGGATGTGAACTACTGTATTCTTTCATAATCACACTAGTAGACACAGATCGAGCGCAGCTTTACTAACACGAGTGGTCAGTTACACAGCACTGGACGACGGTCATTAAAAACAGAAAACATTCGGCCCACAGGACTCAGTGTTTCGTGCAATTTAGCCTTTGACCTAAACTGAGTTTGACACCCCTGATCCACACACTTGGTCCTAAAACAAACGTCCCGATTAATTTAGAAATAAAAGTGACTTCACTTGGGATTACAGCCTTTGGTAACAACAAAAAAAGAAGGATTAAAAAATGAAAAGGAACTATTTCCCCCGTCTATGAGAGACAAACAGAAGTCATGCAGGAGTTCAAGAACTATAAAAACACCCAGAAACCAGCACTGCAACACACTGGGTCTCATGAGGGGAACACACGTGACTCCATGCAGCACTCGACCACACACACACACACACACACACACTCTCTCTCTCTCTCTCACACACACACACAC